CCTGCTGAAGAACCCTGTGGTTTCATCTCTTGCAGAGATGATCCAGGCAGAGTTCTCAGCTCAGGTGGGTGTGAGCACCCTGGCCCTGGCTGGGGAGGCTGTGTTGCTGCCAGCAGGGCCAGCAGTTCCCTAACTAGTGCCTGCTTGCTGCTGGTTATCAGGACTACCTTTCACTTCCCTGATGTGGAATAACTCAGTCTAACCCACCTTTCTCCTGCCCTTTGAGTTCTTCTTGAGACCCTTTGGCTGGAGAAGCCATGGGTAGAGCAAGGAAACTTAAATGTGTTCTTTTGTTTAGCAAGTGCCTTCTGAACACGGAGCAGGCCCCATGCTGGGACACCCAGCTGTGCTCCAGCTCCTGGTGAGGGGAAATGTGCTGAGCTTTGGCAGCAAAAGCCTCTGCTCTTCTGCCCCCATGCACAGGATGCTGTGTGGGACAGCTGGGCTGCAGCAGCAGCAGTGCCTGCTTGACAGCAGTGCTGAGCTCAGAGCTGGGCAGTTTTTTTCCCCAGGACCAGGCTGTGTAAGGTCACCTCTGGGAGCAGCCTGGATGTGTCGTCCAGAAAGCCTCACATCTGTAAGGGTGTCTGCATGAACATGTCCACAAAAGGCTGTGTTAAAGCCTTGTTCTTTCAGCCCAGCTATAACCATCTCACCTTACGTCCCCCAGCCAGCTGATGTGGGACATCACCTGCCCCCTCTGCAAGGCAGTTGTGCTTAAGCATTGTTTGAATGACCCCTCCACATGTCTCTGAGGCTGTTTGCTCCTGGGAGGTGCTCAGCTCAGCTCTGCACTCCCCAGGCAGGGCTGTCCTTTACCTTGAAGAAGTTTTCCAGGACATAGTTAATGGCAACCCAGTTGAAGGCTTCTTTGTCTTGGCTGGACAGGATTTGTGCCCCCTGAAAGTCAAAGGGGGATGACTTCAGGGCCACAGTCAGGGCAGCAGGGAGACCATCAGTCAGGGTGGGATGGCTGAGGCTACACAGAAAAGAAAAAGAAGGCACATTTGTTGTTGCAGGGCCCTGCCAGGGGCAGCCTGCAGTGGGAGCACAGCTGCAGGGCTTCTGCTCTGCTCCCCACTTCAGGTTGTAGCACAAGTGACAATCCCAGTCCTGCTGCTGCTTCCCTCTCCCCTCACTGGCACTGGGGGCAAGAACAGCAGAGGGATGATTTGAGCAGTTGTGTCACCAATTTGGGAGCTCAGGACCCCCTGCCACTGAGGGGATCCTGTGGCCTTGCCCCACTGACCTGGTCCCCTCAAGACCTTCCTTTTTCCCCTGAGTTTAAGAGGAGGCAAAGGTGACAATAATGAGGTGACTGAGAACAAGATCCACAAAAGTGTGTGTGATGAGGTGGCTCTTCCCACCACCATTCCCAACCTGCTGACAAGGAGCACCCCTGCAAGCCCACGTGGGTTGTCACATACACTGAGAACCCTTTAGCTCCCAGACCTGGGTGTTTTACCCAGCACTAATTCCACGTGGCTGCTTGTGAGGACAGTGTGGAGACACAGCCCTGCTGTGCTCGCCTGGAATACATGGGCTGTGGAAGGTTTACCTGACTAGCAGCTTAGGGGTGGAACACAGTGCAGAGCAGACAGGGTGAGATGCACTTAGGGAATGATCCGCGTGGCGTGTGCTGAGCTCTGGGGGTGGGTTTGCAACATTCACTCACTTCAGCTGCCTCGGGCTGGCGGTGGCTCCCAGGTAGAGAGGGGTTTGGCTGTGCTGCTCTGCTGGGATCTCCTTCTGGGCCCAGTTCAAACACGGCTCCAAGCTCTTCCCAACTTTCTGAGGAGAATCCCAGTAGCTGGAGGCTCCCAGATCTGAAGACAGAAGGGAAATAATGACATTTCCTAAGGAAAGGTTTGGGAGAAGTGTGAGAGCTGTTGTCCCAAGAGGTTGCTGCCTTGGGCATGGTTAAAGAGGACCTCTCACAGCAGAATGAAGTTCTTCCAAGTGGCTGTCCTGCTAAAATATGGTGCTGGGAGCCAAATGTGTGTGTGTAAATGCCAAATTGGAGTGAGAGAACCTGGCTGTGCTGCTGGGACATCCCTTGTTTAGCCTCAGCCACGTGGCTGCTGCAGCAGGGGGTGGCTCAGCCCACAGAGGAAGAAATGTGCCCTTAGCCATATTGCAAGATAAGCCAAAGGGACACATTGTCATGCAGGTGGAGCTGAGGGAAACGTCAGCTCTGTACTCCAGCCACTTCCTCCTGTGTTGGTGGGGGTGGCTTCTGAGCTTGCAAGCGAGGTACCTCTGCTCTAGAGGCAGCTGGGGCTGTGCAGGGGAAGCTGTGTGCAAGCCCTGGCTCCTCTCCAGATTCAATGGGGTCTAAAATGCTGGTTCTGAGGTACTGCCCAGAAGGAGCTTCACTTCCCCATCCTCTGGCCCTCACCACCCACTGTGCTCTCCTGGGCCCTGTCTGGGCTGAGCTGCATCTTGCCTCCAGCTGCTGAAAGGCCACCCTGCCATGCAGACAGAGACTACTTTGCACATCTGGGCAAGAGACCTGCCTGGACCTCCTGCTGCTGCTGACAAACTGCTGCACTGAGCTGCAGTTCCTGTTTCTGGCCCAGCCAGGGAACATGGCAGCAGTCAAGGGACACATGCAAGGTTTCAGGGAGCTCTTGTTGCATCTTCTGTGTGGGGTTTGTTTTGCTTACATTCTTCAAGGGCACAAACCCTCTTCCCTGCTTGTGCAGCTGCCCTCCCACAGCACATGGAGCTGAGAGTTCAGGGCTTCCCAGCATCCTGCTCTAATCAGGTTTCAACATCAAAGCAAGATGGAGAGATAGG